AGAGAGAGAGAGAGAGAGAGAGGTGACTTACCGCCTGGAGGGACGACCCGGACGAGTTGTAGGTGCGTGTGGTGTGGTGGGCGGTCGAGGCGGCGTCGTGGCTCAAGTCGCTCGACGTGCCAGCCCCTTCGCCGCGCGGGGCAAGGCCATTGTGGCCGCCGGAAGAGGCGGTGTGGAAGGACGCCGCCGATTCTGAGTGCGACGTCCTCTCCCTCTCGAGGTGATGCGGGTAGGACGAGAACTGTTGCGAGTGTGAGTGTTGGGACAGGGCACGTGCCTCCATCAATGCAAGCCGCCGCCGTTCTGCGATGGTGCGGGTGTGGTGCGGGCTTTCAACCGCCGCCGGTGCGGATAAACCCGATGGGAAAAGATTAAATATAAAAGAGGATATAAAACGGCTGGGGGAGTCTGGGTGTTGCGGCACGGCGGGAGCTAGCTGAGAAGGCAGGTAGGAGCCGCCGTTGTGCTGAATACTCTGGATCCTCTGGATCCTTTTTTCCCTTCTTCTTTCTCCCACTGTCCCCCTTGTTATTTTGATTTTTCCTTTCGTTTCCTCCCGTTCCCGCCCAAACCAACGTCTGGTTCTTGGCTGCTAGAACAGTGTGGCGCGCCTTGGGCGGTCGGGAAAGGTGGTCGATCAAGCGCACAAGTCTCGCCCAATCTGCAGCTTTCTCTTTTAGCTCGGGGTCGTGCTGAGGCCTTGTGGTTTGATTGGGGACACGCGAAACGCAGCGATCGTTTGTCTCGGGCCGTCGTGGGTGCTTGCTGTGCTGGTAGGGGAAAGAAGCATCAAAGCCGGAGGCTTCGGGGACCATTTGACTTGTCCGGGGCACCCTTCCTAGGTGTATTGTTTCCCCAGGTGCCCTGGCCTTGGCCCTTGCCCCTTTTTTCTTTTCGTTTTTCAGCTTGCCCTGTTGCAATTTTTGGTGTCCCTCTTTCCTTTTTTTTCGCAGCCTCTTCGCTGTCTCCATGTCCTAGCTCCCCTGCTGTTCTGCACACTTACCCCTGGCGTCGCGGGACGTATCCGCTGCCGCCGGCCACTCCTAGCGCGTGTCTGTGCCAGGGATGGGTAGGGATACCACTGCACAGGCTCCCGCTGCGCCCACGTCGGAGCTTGTGGCTCGCCCGCCCCGGCTATTTTTATTTTATTTGTGACTGATCGGTTGTGTGTTTCTCTTTTTCTTTGTTGGCTGCTCACTGCCGCTGCTGCTGCGGTCACGGCACTGACAGCAGCAAGGGATGCTCCCGCGTTACGTTACACCACCAAGTGCCGGGCCAATATCAGGCAGAAAACCAGTGGGAAAGACACCGCGAGATGGCTCGCAGGTCCGAGATAATCAAAGCCAGGGCTGATCTGGCTCGTTTCGGGGTTGGCTATAGCAATGGCCCTATTCCCGGTCTGGGGACGAACCCCTGGCAGAGATTGGAGTCCCCAGACTAGCGGCTTCAATTGACATTTGCCTTTGTTTTCTTCTGGTTAGGCCTCTCCCCATTCCACTCTGCCGGGAAGACGCCTGCGCGTTTCCGTCAGTCAAATTTCGGGCTGGCCATGCTTCTGGAAGCGGGCGCAACGCAAACAAATGATGACTGACTCGGGTGCAGGCTGCGTGACACCCAGGCACGATGCCCGGAAAATAATCTGGACTGCAATTTTTTTTCCCCACCCAAACTCTACCTCTCCCAACTCAATTGCACCAGCACCAGCACCAAAGCACCTAAAAAATAAATAAAAACACACACGTTCAAAAGATTTGTAATTATTTTAATGCAAAAGGCATTACTTATAGCTACAATGCCGTTTTTCGATTTGCCGGATCATATATGCAGAGGGCAAAATGACTAAAAACTGAATGGGCTCCTTTTTTTGTGGTGGTAAGAATAAATTGCACATTATTTTCCGGGCATCGTGCCAGGCAGGGACAAATCAAGGACAAATCAGGGACAAATCAGGGACAAATGAAAAGCGAACATGGAGCCGGGTGGACCCCAGAGCCGTGGGCTCGAGTCAAGACGCTTCACCGCGGTCTGGGCGGACACGGTCTCCCGAAAAAAGTCTGGACCACAATTTCTTCCCCACCACCACAAAAAAAGGAGCTCATTCAATCTGCAATTATTTTACCCTTTGCATTTATAAAAAGCGAAAAACGTTATTGTGGCTATAAGTAATGCTTTTTGCATAAAAAATAATAATAAAAAAATCCCTTGAGCGCGGTGTTTTTT